TCTGCCTGATCCGTTTGTTCGGTTCCCGAAATTCAGAGATGAATCGTACAGATCCATCTTTCTTGGGAATGATAAAAGTTGGTGCCGCCACTTGGAACGATTCACCTTCTTGAGACTCCTGCCTCGCAGAGACGTTCAACCTCTTTCTTAAGAGTGTTGGTATGGACCGTGGAGTAGGGTGAGCCCTAGTATAATAGGATTTAGCGTAGCCTTATCCTATCCCAAAAATACAGGACATGCTCTTGAACCTAGATGGATTCAAGTGCGCTACTAGTCTAGACCTGAACACGGGACACTACCACATCGAGCTGTCACCTCACTCGAAGCAACACTATACCATTGCACTCCCGAAGGGAAAGCACGAGTACCAGAGGTTGCCAATGGGCCTATGTAATAGTCCCGACATCTTCCAAAGGAAGATGAAAACACGCATGCATGACTTAGAAAATGTCCGTGCATACATTGATGATCAACTCATCCTAACGGACGTCGATCTAGCGGATCGCGTTGAATAGTTAGATGACCTTTTCCAAAGACTTCAAGAAGTCGGGATTGAAATCAACACTACCAAGGCCTTCCTCGAAAGGAAGAACTGGAGTATCTAGACAATTGGACTACTCGAGAAGGAAGCCAACCCTTAACTAAAAAGATAATAGATGCGATCCAGCTATCGCTCTTCCTACCAACAGGAAGGAACTTCGTAGATTCATTGGACCAATGAACTACCAAGGGCTGCTCCAAGACAGCAGACGGAGTAACCATCGTTCTGAAACAGACGTGGGTTACCCAGTATCCATGACCGGTTGTCATGGACAGAGAACGTGAGTCCCGCGCAGAGGTCGAGAAGACTCTCCGGGATGAACATGGACTTCGTCGCAAGTTCACGCGCGTCAATCGTGACAAGACTCACCACATCCGTTTCAAAGCAAACCGGAAATACATTAAGGAACGTCGCCAACGACTTATCCAGAAAACACCGATAAGGAGAACACGGCACGTGTCCCTCATCAACACCATGTCAACGATACTATGATGATTCATCAGTATCAGAACCGTTAGTACGGTCAGCCAACGCACAAGGTCCTTACCACACAGACCGAGTCAATAACAATGGCACTGTACGGCTCCGACATACTACCGCCAGTAGCGGCACAGTCTACCAGACTTGGAACATAAGGTATTTACACCCATACAAGGCCTGATCCCCTTGCAGGATTGCCATCGTGCGACGCACATGTCTACATCCAATCTCCGGAGAGTGCCCCGCACTTTAATTCATATGTTCTCCTTGTCCGACTGATGTCGCGCCTTCTGTGACCCTTGTCAGGGGGCGAATGCAATACACGGCTCTTAGCCTTATTCGCGACTCGATCCTAGATAGGGTTTGAGTTCGACTCATGACTGAGTCTCTCGTGAATAGTCATTGAGACAGGGTTCTCAATGACCGCTCTAGTCATACTAGGTTGATGATGAAACATCACGCTAGATATTTAGCCAGCGTGGAGTACTTCCACGCTACTAGATAAATGCTAGACGAATCTTCCACGTGTTCCGTTTTTGGATCGTGGAGTGAGTAGGATTGCTACCGCAACCTACTCTATCACACTCTACAGTTTCCCGCGGGAGTTCAGATCTACGATTCCTTTGGTTGTGGATCTCTCTCGTTGATTAGTTTTCATAGCTTTCTAATCCTCTCATAACTTTCATTCTCTCAAACTCAAAACACTCGAAAGATCTTTACACTAGCTTTTAGCGTAGTGCACTTCACCAAGAAACTCAAACACGAGCTCCTAGGATACGGACAAGTCACAGTCCTGCAACTACTCCAACACCTGGACACAACCTACGGCAAAGTCAAGGCCAATGACCTCCGAGACAACATGAAAAGAATGACAGCCACTTGGAGCCCCGATCAACCCCTTGAAGACCTTTTCAACCAAGTGAAAGATGCACAGAAGTACGCGGAAAACCATGATCCTATCTCGGACAAACAAGCAATCCGTGCAGCCAGCGACAACTTAATGGACAGTGGAGTATTCACTGATGCCCTTCGCGACTGGGACAAAATGGATGACAAAGACCAGACATTCAACAAACTGGAGGATCACTTCAACGAAGCTGACGAAGCAAGGCGTCGCATCCTCACGACCAAAGGAGTAGGATACGCCAACAAAGCAACAATCGACAAGCCTACCAATGAAACGAGCCACAAAGTGATCTCAGAAGGAAGTGGAACAGCAATGTACTATTGCTGGTCGCATGGACTCGGCACCAACAGCAACCACACCAGTAAGAATTGCACCAAAAAAGCAACCGGACACCGTGTCGAAGCAAATGCAGCCGACATGCTTGGAGGTTGCTGCATCATCCGCCGTAAGGCCGGTGAGCGAGCAATCTACTGACGCCCTCAACGCCCTGGAAGAGACAACGACGAAAACCAACCATCTCCAGCTGGACGCTGAGTTGGACGGGAGCCGATTCCGAAGGTACAATCACGCAACACAACTGCACTACGCTAAAAGCTAGTGTAAAGATCTTTCGAGTGTTTTGAGTTTGAGAGAATGAAAGTTATGAGAGAGATTAGAAAGCTACGAAAACTAATCCATGAGAGAGATCATTGTGAAGCTCATTGAAGTTGGTCTCCCGCGGGAGGCCTCGAAGTGTGATATCGTAGGTTATGGCAATAACTCTACGTACTCCACGGTCCATTTCCGGAACACGTGGAAACTACAGCTAGTAGCTGTCTAGTAGCGTGGAAGCTTTCCACGCCGGCTAAATATCTAGAGCGATGTTTCATCGACAACCTAGTATGACTAGCAGTCATGAGAACCCTGTCTCAATGACTATTCGCGAAGGACTACGTCATGAGTCGAACTCAAACCCTATCTAGGATTGAGTCGCGAATAAGGCTAAGAGCCGTGTATTGCATTCGCCCCCTGACAAGGGTCACAGAAGGCGCGACATCAGTCGGACAAGGAGAACATATGAATTAAAGTGCGGGGCACTCTCCGGAGATTGGATGTAGACATGTGCGTCGCACGATGGGAATCCTACAAGGGGTCAGGCCTTGTATGGGTGTAAATACCTTATGTTCCAAGTCTGGTAGACTGTGCCGCCATTGGCGGTAGCATGTCGGAGCCGTACGGTGCCCTTGTTATTGACTCGGTCTTTATTGTAAGGACCTTCGTACTTTGGCTGACCGTACTTGCGGTGCTGATACTGTTGAAACCTCACGGTATCGTTGACATTGTATTGATGAGGGACACGCGTCGCGTTTCCCTTCTCATTGTTTTTCTGGATGAGTCGTTGGCGACGTTCTTTGATGTGTTTCCAGTTTACTTCGAAACGGATGTTGTGAATCGCGTCACGATTGAACACGTGTGGTAATGAACTTGCGACGAAGTCCATATGCATCCCGGAGAGTCTTCTCGACTTCTGCGCGGAACTCACGTTCTCTATCCATGATAACCTCAGCAGGCCATGGATACTGGGTGAGCCACGTCTGTTCTAGAACGATGGCTACTTTGTCTGCTGCATTGGAGCAGATCTCGGCAATCTCGAACCATTCGGTTACGGGATCAATCATTGTCAAGCAATGAAATGGACAGGGATTCCTTTTCTTGGGATCCTCGACGTTATATGTACATGTGATCTTCTGATCCATATGTCTCGATAGTAGTTCACTAGTCCAATGAATCTACTAGGTTTCTTCCTGTTCGTAGGAGGAGCGATATTCTGGATCGCGTCTATTTTCTTGGTTACGGGTGGATTCCTTCTCAAGTAATCCAGTAGCATAGATATTCAAGTTCTCTTCTTTCGAAGAAGGACTTGGTAGTATTGATCTTTGCGACGGGATACAGCTTACAATTCAGCTTTACAGCTTTATAAATTGCGGGCCTATTCTAGAAAATAATCAATAACTGCTCACTTATTTGGAAATACAAACTTTACATCTCTTAGATCGTTAGATTAATCAATCCACAATGGTATTGTCGCATGGTAGCATGCGAGGTTATGAGAATGTTAATCGACTTATCTAGTATTCTCCAGGTGCCATGAATAGTCTTGTGCAGTTAGTTTCTTTGCTTCATGTAGTCTTCCCATATTGCAATTAATCTGTCATTGGTATCCATATGATCCTCCTTGTCTGATACTTAGATTCGCTCGCAACTCCCTTCTTGTATTTCGTCGTAAGCAATCCACTTGTTCCCCTTGTTCTTTATCCTGTGTGTCGATCGAAATCGAGATGATGGTCCTATTTCTAACGATCCGGCTTGTGGTGTACTGCATGTGAGTCATGTTCCGGAGGCCACTTTTTACCGCCTATTATCCGTTCCCCGTGCTGTTTTGCGTCGCGGTTGGTACGGGCTTGCGTTGAGTCTTAGATTGTGGTGAAGTAACATACAGCGCTGTCGCTGGTTAATTTAAATTTTGAATTTGACCTCACAGATATTCGCTCGGTGGGCACAACCCAACGTCCAGTCACAAGTCTCTATACCGGTCCTCCTCCTGTTGCCATGTCTTTGCCATCCGCACGTTGACCTATGTGTTGATTTTCCTGCTCTATTCAATCAGATAATGGACCTTGACGACGCTTCCTTTCTTCAGCATCCTCTTCATCATCAACTCCTTCAACAGTACCAGCGCCTCCTTGTTCAGTCCACAGGATTCAGACCAGAGCTTCTTTGAATCTGATCCAGATCTCCACCATCTGATCCCCAACCATGACTACAGCCCTTGACACAGCTCAATTCAGACTCCTCCAACACATTGGGAAATCCAAGAGAAAAGACCAGGCTTACAGAAGTCCTCGGCTTGGAGGTATCAACACACATGAGCCTGGACAGTGATCTGTCGATGGACTGAGAAAGGAACTCAGAAGCAACCTATGCCTCAGGGGGTTTCATGGGACGACCATCTAAACATCACACCACACTCCAGCCAATTGGAATTGGCATGCAAGAAAGGACTGAAGGATTACCCCAGTCCTCCTCTTCTCTACTCTTGACTGAGTCCAATGCATTGGCATCCATGGTTTAGCTCTCTATCGCCTTGTGTCGGTGAGTGTGATAACTGGAGGTCTGGTAATGGAAGGAATCTTAGTTGTTGTTGGTGATATTAATACTAAACACTATTAACAAAATTAATTTGTTCCCGCTCCTGGGCAGGTCTCTAGAATCTATGTTGGAAAAATTTAGCATCAGGACATCACAGTAAATGGGTTGGTTCATAAACGATTGGGACTCTGAAGCAACTCTGCTGTCCAGTATGAGTCTAAGCAACCTTGCTTGGTCGGCGAAGGCTGTCTTGACTCTTGCCTGATGTACTCAGGAGAATTTTGAATCATATGTTCCCTCGCCAGATTCTCTCATCGAGTTATACATGTCGCTTATGTCTTTC